AAGAGCTCCATTCCTTAATAATATCTCTTAAATCAGCCAATGATATGCAATTTATCATGCTGTCATATACTATTGCCTTAAGGGATGGGATCTGAAGCTCGACGAGAAGCCAATGGTTACGTTCCAAAACAGGGATAAACACCTGCAATCATAAGTAATAATTCATTCATTTGCGCACTTATTTATGAATACCTTTAAACTCAATCTAAAATAAACACTAACCTTATCGACCTCCCACCATGCAGGATAAAGTTTAGCTTGTCCATTGCCCAACGCAAATGATTCATCTCGTTGATTCTTCAAGTGAACTGCGTTAAAAGCCGTCGGCATTATTGTATACCGTGTATTTATTTTATTTTCCTTAAGTTTCCTAATTATTAGTAGACGTGACACCCACGCATCGATATGCTGTTTTACAAAAAATACATATATTAGTGAATTACATTAATTTTTAAACAAATTAATCAAATGAAATATAAGAAAAATATAAGACTTACCCCTCCATCGAAATAGCCATTGTCTTCGACCCCTAATAATACGCCCCACCAAGACCGATCAAGCAACAAATAGATATCATCATTGAGCTTGCATATGTCAGTGAAACACCCTGGCTTCTCTCGTGTAGATAAAAATCAACTGCGGTCTTAGCCCAAAGGGTGTTATCCAGAATTGTGTCCGTAGTTGTTTCCTCTCCTCTTCAGATACCGGTATGGTACTGGCCGGTAACTCATACGAGAGCCAACTTGAATCCATCATGTCCGGCACGTCAGAGGGTTTCTCAAGAATCCTACATATGACGCCATGTGAATCGGGCTCTTGAATGGTGGGAGGGACCTCTTCAACGATGACAGTGGCCTCTTGAACGGTGGGAGGGGACTCTCGAGGAATGATAGGGGCATCTTCAACGATAGGAGTGGACTCTTGAGGGATGATAGGCGAGTCGGCTTCTTCTTGCGGTGTCTTTGCACTATTGGGGTATACGGAGACTTAATAGCACGTGCACGCCGTCTGATGCGTGAACTCTGTCGTGCAAGAAAAACCCGACGTAAAGCATCCACCTTATCGGTCCGCTAAATAAAAATACAAATATCAGTAAATAAACAGACATGATATTTAAACAGTGAAAACAAAGATAAATATATTTCAAACTTTCAACCAAAAGACAAACAAAGACAAATACTAACTTCACAGTGTTAAAGTAAAAAGTTTAGCAGTTTTGGCAGCAACCGAATAAATTTACTAAGCAATCTAAGTGAAATGATTAATTTAAGTGAAATTACGAGTAAATTTATCATCAAGTTAAATATGGAAAATCTTAAACTTACCTCGTTGCGTAGAGTATGAACCTCATTCTGCAATGATACTACCATCTCACGTAGAGCGGCAACCTCACCACGTAAAGTAGACACCTCCACACGCCATGCACTATCGTTATCGCGTAGAGTACCGATCTCCTCACGCAAGGCATTGACCTCATCACGTAACTCCCTTGACTCATCCCGTGGAGGTGGAGAACAGGGAGATAGAAGTCGTGGCATCTTTGTCGGTCGCCTATCATGAGGTGATGGTGGAGAAGAGACTCGATGATGTGACGGGATAGGTGATGGCTCTCGTTGTAGAGGTGTATAGTCGGGTCGATCAGGTGATGGCTCTGGGTGAGGTGATGGCTCTCGAAGTGGAGGAAGTGGAGGCTGCTCATCATTCGTGCCATCAAAAAAACGCTGACTAGCTTGCCACCAATCAGTGGCAAGCTCAGCCTCCGTGGGTGTCAGTCTCATTAATGGAGTGTTGGCCTCCTAATAATATAAAAACTAAAACAAAGTTAAACGTCTACTATTAATAACTTGTTTATATATGATAGTATTTGTGTTAACTTACATTATTTATTTTCGCATATGGTATTAAGTCTTCCCAATCCAACATACGTTTCCTCTTCCAGGAAATAGCCCTAGGAATATCATCTGAGGATTTTAATGCATATGTCCGCATGCTGGGGAAAGCCTCGAATATCCAAATCTACAAACAATATAATAACAAACATTAGTAATTGTTAAATAATTAATTATAATTTTGAAAACATTATATAGAAATTCTTACCTTAAAGGCCCAAACAAAGCCTGACAAAGTGTATTTCGACCCATCGCCCCGCAAACTTTTGCGGTCATCAAAGGCAGACGACAACTTAGTCCAGGTAGCTTTCCATATACGAACCCCACGGAAACAGATTCCATGCATTTAGGTCCTCTACCAATAATATTAGCTCCTGAGGAATAGGTTGTCTGGCCTCTCTACCTAGAAAGCCGGCATACAAAAGTAGTAGAAGGCATACTCGGACAACATCGACGTCATTCATCCGAGTAAACCATCTTTCTTATTAAACAATTTCTTCATGTCGTCGACGTGTAAGTTCGGCTTCTCTATTGACTCATCAGGAAAAACCCTGGATAACCATGATGGGCGGGTGATATGACGAGTGTACCGGCCTACATCATCGTGTCCGAATCGTAGACCAGTGATTAAGCAGAACTCCTTCCGCCCAAAACAAGTATACGCCGGTGGAAAATGAAACCATATCTCTTCCTCACCACGTTGTATACTGTCGGGTAGATCGCTAGTCATGGTCTGAAGCCACAAATGGGTGTAACTAGCATCTCCACCCGGATGCTGTACTCTCAGCCATGGCCCAAAGCAGGTTTCTTCAAACAATTTTCTTTGTGCAGGTGAAAGCTTCGAAGCAATTGTAGTGGCTAGGCTAACTTTATTCCTTAATGTCAATGAAGCCGAAAAAAATTTCTACAAAAAAACAATAAACATACCAAGTTAGATATACCAAAAATTACACTGTCAAGATATACCAAAAACAAAACAATAAACATAAATAGTTGTTTATTCTTGAAACTAAAATTTGCAACACTGTTTCTGTCTTTTGGTTGAAATGAAAATCGCAACGAGATAATGAGAATCGCAACGCGGAAATGACTATCGCAACGAGAGAATCGCAACGCGAAATGACTATCGCGACCAGACAATCGCAACGCGAAATGAAAATCGCAACCGCGAAATTAAAATCGCAACGCGAAATGAAAATCGCAACGCGAAATGAAAATCGCAATGCGATTTTGGTTTCGCGTTGCGATTTTTATTTCGCGTTGCGATTATCTCGTTGCGATAGTCATTTCCGCGTTGCGATTCTCATTCTCGAAACTATTCTTCTTCTGCATTACTTCAACCAAAAGACAAAGCAAAGACAAATACTAACTTCACAGGCTAAACAGTTTAGCAGTGGCAGCAATCGAATGAATTTAATAAGATATCTAAGTGAAATGGTTAATCTATTATTGAAATTACCAGTAAACTTATCATCAATCTCAATATGAAAAACCTAAAATAATGCAAAAATTTCAAATAAAAAAAAAAAACTAACCCTCGGAGGTTGATTTTCCATTTTTGAATGATTGTGAGGGATTTTTGACTGTGAATGGTTGTGAGGGATTTCGCCGGCGATGGAGACGGAAATCTTCGGAGATGGGGACGGATTTCGCCGTAGAGAGTGAGAGATGGAGATGGGATTGAGTGTTGTGTTTTTGGGTTTGAGGTTATGAGTTGCGATTACTGTGGACGGTTCATTTTCCGATTTATTAAAAAAAAATACGTGTTTGGAATTTGAAAAAAAAAATACGCGTTAATACGAATGGCGCTAAGTAAATCGCGTTGCGAAAGTCAGTATCGTGTTGCGAAAGTAAGTATCTCGTTGCGATTTTTTATTATCGCATTGCGATAGTCAGTATCGTTGCGATTTTCCCAATTCGCGTTGCGATTTACTTATTCGCATTGCGAATTTCCCAATTCGCGTTGCGATTTACTTATTCGCATTGCGAATTGGGAAAATCGCAACGATACTGTAGACCATCGCAACACGATTTTCAACTATCGCATTGCGAAAATGCAACGCGAATTTGCGATAATGGAGATCGCGTTGCGAATTAGCGATCGCATTGCGATTTTGTTGGTCATTTTGGCAAATCCGGAAAAAGTTGGTTAAAATCGTATATTATATGGGATTTTTGGTCACTGAGGTTATTTTCTCTATATAAAAATATGTAATCCCCGATAACAAAATAAAAGCTAAGAAACTAAACATACATGATAATATGTAAAGAAACAAAATTTAACTATGCAAAAATTAAATTATAAGAGTAAAATAAACAGATAATAAAATACAATAATTAAATAAATAAAATTAAAGTAAAGAAAAATAAAGAGATAGAAATAAACGATTAGAATATTAAAACAAATAAAATGTAAGTATTGAAATTAAATAAATAAAATAAAAATACGTAAATTTAAAAGCGTATAAAGTTAAATAACAGAAATAAAATGCAATAAAAATAAAATGTTAGTAGTTTGTAATTAGCGGTTAGAAAGGTTAGCTGTTAGAAAAATTAGTGGTTAGCAAAGTCCGAACTATAATAATGTGAATTATACCCCGGATCTGATCACCACAAGATTGAATCAAATAATTCAAACAAAATAACAAAATAAAATAAGATAAATATAAAAAAATTAATGGTTAGCTGAATCTGAACCATAATAATGTGGATCATACCCCGGATCGAGTTACCACAAGATCGATTCAAATATTATAAACAATAAATAAATAAGCAACAGTTAAAATGCAATAAAATAAGTCAGTAGTTAACAGAGTCTGAATCATAATAATGTAGATCATATCCCAGATCTGGTCATCACAAGATCGAATCAAATATTAGAAACAATAAATAAATAACAATTGTTAAAGTGCAATAAAATAAAAGTCAATAGTTAACTTTGAAATAAATAACATATCAAAATAGTGACCAAATTAAAATAAAATAAAATCAACATATATATTCGAATAAATAAAAAAATGACTAGAGTGAAAAAAACTAAAACATAGAGGGCTTAAAGGTGATTTTCCCCCTATAGTGACCAAAACGTAAAATGACACTAAGACTGGGAGTATGGGTGATTTACCCACGAAATAGGTGACTAAACGTAAGAACAAACTAAAGGCCCAGGGACCTTAACGTAATTTACCCAAAAAAAGCAACTCTCCCTGTCTCACGAACAGAGTCACTCAAGGCTCCAATCCAGGCTGAGCCACCACACGCCGTCCCTAGCACACCGGCCACCGGGCCGGTGACACGCACTCCAACTGGCGACCACGAGCACTACCAAAGGAGGACCGCCCAAAAAAACTCTCCCCCGTTATCTTCCTCTCTCTCCCTTACTCGACGGAAAACCACAACCCATAGGCGTCATACGAACTCCGACAGCAACTCCGGCGGCCCGACTACCACGGCGACCCTCTCTCCGGTAGTGGTAACTCGACCGACCGACAAAAACCCACCCCTATGGACTAAGCTTACCCGAAAAAAATAAAGAAAAATGGAATTAAAAAAAGAAGAAAAAAAACAGTCTCTTTTCATTTCCAAACTTTCTGGCAAGGAGGGGCTGTTTTTTACATTCTGATTGGCTTTTAAAGCCCCAACCAAATTACAATTTGGGTAAAATACAAGTTTGGTCCTTATATTTTGTTCCTTTTTATTTTTAGATAATGGTACAATTTAAATTTTGGTCCTTATATTTTGTTTCCTATTTAATTTTAGGACAAAATTAGGGTATTACAATCATATTATATGGCACTGAATTCTTACATTTTTAGCTAATTCAACTAGGAATTGGCTGAGCCATCAATAAGAGACGAATTCGGTTTGTGTGTTCAACGAGGGGCACATCGCGTGATCGTTAGCCCATTCTTTCTTTTCCCTGGAAGGCATTGGTACCAGGTAGCTCATTTTTATTTGCATTTGATGACTTGAAAAAGAACTAATGTGTTTATAGAAGTTTCGGGTAATTCTGTTTTTGCTGAATGTCACTATGTTATTTCTAAGGATATCCCATCTTTAACTGCTGATGCTGCAAAGGATTACCCTGGTGTATCGTATATGATAACTGCACCACTCGGCCTGCACGAGCTGCTTGTGGTATGAACTCTCTTGTTCTCCTTATTGTTCACTGTCGATGTCATATGAGTTTTGTGTGGTTTTCTCCTGCTAAGTTTTCAAATGGTCCACAATTTGATATTTAGCTCGAGTAATATGGTTTTGAAACAAAGGAGCCAGTAAATCATCATCAAGTACACGGTTGTTGTGAAACTTCCTTTGTTATTGCTCAAGCATGTATCATATCTAATAATCACACCGCTTGGCTTGCATGAGCTGCGTGAGGAGCTCTCTTGTTTTCGTTGTTGGCCACCACTGATTTTGTATGAGTTTTGTGTAGTTTTCTCCTGCTGCTTTTTGAAACGGTCCTCAATTTGACATGTACCTCGACTCCTTAAGTGATATGATTTACGAACAAAGGAATCTGTAAGTCGTTGTCAAGTACATGATTGTTGCAAAACGTTCCTTGTTATTGTGCAAACATGTATCGTGAGCAATAACTGCCCTATTGCCTGGCCAAGCTGCTTGTGGTTTGAACTATCTTGTTTCCCTCATTGGTGACCATTGATTTCGAATGACTTTTGTGTAGTTTTCTCCTGCTATGTTTCCAAATGGTCCTTGTTTTGATAGCTAGCTTGACTAATATGGTTTCAAAACAAAGAAGCCTGTGAGTCTTTGTTAACTGCATGATTGTTATGGAACTTTCTTTATTATTGGTCAAACATGTATCAAATATAATAACACCCCATGACATGCTCAAGCTGCTTACGGTATGAACTATCTTGTTTTACTCTATGATTACCATCACTTTTCAAATGAATTTTGTGTATTTTTCTCTTGCTAGATTTTCCATGATCGGTCGTTTCTAGTTAGCTTATATAATTGAAATTTGAAACGGAGGAGTCGGTCAGTGTTGTCAAATACATAATTATTATGAAAGTTGCTTTCGCTATTGCTCAAACATCAATAAGTGAATTGAACTTTCTCTGCATGTCTTGTTTTTGGATTTAACAACACAAAAGGGTAACTTTTGCCCCTGTAATATACTCAATTTATTATTTTCGCCCCTATAATATTTTCGCATCAATTTAACCTTCGAATTTTCTCAATTGTATCATTCTATATCCTACCCTAACTTAATACTCTAAATCATAACCTCATAATCTCTAAACTATAAATTTTAAACCATAAACCATAACTTAGGGTTTTAAGTCAAGGGTAGGATATAGAATTATGTAACTGAACAATTTTGAGTACTAAATTGATGCGAAAACACGATATGAGCGAAAGTGATAAATTGGGTCTACTACATGATAAATGTGAGCCTTAAGCCTTTTAATAACAATGTTGTCCTGTAGATGGTTTCTCTTTCTTGTAAGTTGGCTTTACCTGACTGTCGGATGTCTTCTCTTTTGTTTTCGTATATTGCAGGATGTCATAAATGATAGGATCAAACACTGCTTGAGCCATGTAGCCGGAGAAGCCGATGAGTGTGCGGCTTGTACCGGAACAAGGAAATGCAAGCTCTATGGACTCATGGATGTAATTAGAAATTAAGTTTTTGGGATTGAATATAGGGATCCGAGGGTTCCTATTTTACGAAAGTTGAAATCGTTGCATATGAAATAACCCAACGGTTCATGCAATTGCTGCATATATACTAGTTTTCCCTTTCTTGTCTTTCAGGATGTTTTGTCCGTGACTTCCTCCATGTATTAGACAAAACACGATTTACCTATTTGAGTTTTACTTTTGGAATAAAGCTGTAACACCTCAATTTCATTTGGCTTTAATTTGAATTTTTTAAATTAATTTTGGGACCCATTCGTAAGACTTTGAAAACCCTAAAAATGTAGGGACCCAACTCTGGATTTGCCCTCCCTACAGCCAAAGGAAAAAAGATTGAGAAATGGTTAGATATTTTAATAGGTGAGACTGAGGGGATTTGAACCCTGACTGAAAATATACTCCTATTAGGTCACTGTTTGAATTTATAATAATAAAAATATTTCTTTAAGTTTATCTGGATTGGCTTTTAAACTCCAGAAAGTTTTTTCGGTCAGAAACAAAACCAAGATACCCAAATATTTCCAAGTCTCCCCGTTATTCCCGTCAACCATCGATCGTCATCTCATCCGGTCGACGTAACGTGCACCACCCCACCGTTAGGACCGTCGTGGTCGTGTGATCAAAACCCTAGTGGCTGATTGTCATGAAACATCGTCGAACGCCACAAATTGGCCATGAAGCTTCGTTGGAGAACCAAGCCACCGCAACTATTTTCGTGGTTTCACGCCGTTTTCGAAGCCCGGTGACCACACCGCCCTCACCGTTGAGTTCCCCACTAAATTCCGACCAAAAGTCAACCATCGTGGTCTCTCACCACCATCGTTTCTACCGTCGTCGGCGTTGATAAGCTCCGATTCGTTTTTCTGTTTTCTTGCTTCGTGTTTTGATGGATTTCTAACCATGGTTATTAAATCGGATCGGATCGATCGATTTAATCAGTTGAACCGTGAACCGGTGGCCTGTCCGGTTACTTCAAAAAATCGGACTGGCAATGAATCGGTTGAAATCGGTAGAACCGGATAAAAACCGGTAAAATTAGGGTGAACAGGTTGAAAATCAATAAAACCGGTTTGAATCGTCGGTTCACTTTTTTACTTTTAAAAAAAATTAAACCAAACGGCGTCGTTTGTTCAATGAGCTAAGTCAAATTCGAGTATTGTTAAGTTCGACTCGAACTCAAAAACTTTAAAAGTAAACCCAATTCGACTAAAAAACTCACGAGCTAAAAATTATCAAGTTAAACTCGAACTCGAAATATAATATTAAAATTTAAACTCGAAAAAGTTTGAACCCAAAAAAAATTTAGAAGTTCGATTGAAGCCTAAAATTTGAACTCAATTAAAGCGAAAGAATAGTTCGTTCTGTGCTCACCAAAAGGTTCCATGATTTTGAATGTCAAATTACCTATATTATTTATAGAAGTAAGTTGGGATGCTCTTTTATGTTTATTAGCCATGTGAGATTGTTTTGTTCTTATATTTTTACTCTTTAAACTTTTGGAATGCTCTTCTATGTTTCTTAGTCATGTGAGATTTTTTTATATAAAAAAATTAAACCAAATGACATCATTTGTTATAATTTTTTTAACCCTCATTTTTTTTATTATAGTTATATAATTATATTTATTATTAAATATATTTTACATTAAATATTATGTTGTAGTTATTTGAATCATTTTGTTTCACTTGATTTTATGATTTTTAATTTATATATGTTATGACTTGTGATATTTTTATACCTTTTAATATTGTAAACTTAAAAAACGTGTTACATATATTAATATTACTTTGAATATTATGTAAAATTAAAAAAATATTATTTTATATAAAATTCGGTTTAACCGCAGTTGAACCCGGTTGAACCAGTGAACCAGTACCTTCACCGGTTCAATGTCCAGTCCGATTTTAAAAACATTGTTTCTAACGATGTTTTGAGTTAATCAAGTGAACTGGAGCATTATGAGAAAACGACCGACATCCTTGTTGAGTTAGACCACCGCGTACGTCGTCCATGTGCGTGGGGCTGCTCGATTAGCTGAAAATCCTTTGAACAGGTCTAGTTAGATCAGACCGGATTGAACGATCAACCTTAGAGTGATTAAGGTTAAACGAGTCAACTGGCATGGGTTTGGACCGTTGACTTTAACAAGAGTTGATTTTGACTTTGACAATCTTTGATTTTGATCAAAAGGTCATATTTTTTGAGAAATCATATCAAATATTTTTTGACATTCTGAGTATGTATCCGAAGTATGTTTTATCAAATTCTAACACGAAAGCCTTCAAATTAAATGTTAAACCCCGAGCATGAATATGCATTTAATTAATTTACTTCGTGCATTTAATTTAAGGTCAATGATTGATTTATGATATTGATTGTTGAAGTTACTTGATACTCTCCCGATCGCTCGTCGATTCGACTTAGTTTCTCTCGATCTGTCTGACCGCGCGAGCCTGTGTTTACTCGTTCAATTGTTATTGTTATTGTAATGTAGCAAAGCCGGTGCTCAATAGATTTCCCAATTTAATTCTTATTTGAGGTATGTTCCTTATGTGTTATATAATTGTTTTATCTATTCTAAAAAATGATGGGTTACCTTAAATATTTTACCTGATCGATATCATGATTTCCTGATTTAGCGATTATGAACTATATTTGCTTGATACATTGTCTCTGGTTATTTGTTTTTATTGAAAAATATAATATGTCTGATTTATGGATCATGAAATTATTGTTTAGCATTTGAATTGTTTTATTGGGATATTGTTTGGGTAAAATTATGGAGTATGGAGGTTCAGCTCTGATCAAGCTGGTAAATCTTTACGAACATAAGGTGATCCTTGGCTAGAGTTTTAGGCCTCAAGTTACTCTATTGCATAGGTTCTAAGGCCTCAATGTACTCCTCCAATCCCAAATACATCCTGATTGAACCTAAAAATTAAATTTATTTTATTTGTCATTGTCAATCGTCGGATAATATTAAAATCAAGTTATATTAATTTCATAACCAAACAAATATTTTTCTCGTCGAGATTGATTAAAAACTTATCGAAAATTTGACCTTGACGATGACTGTAAATTTTGAACTTTGAGATTTGTTTAGGAAGAAAACTTTAATGTGTTACACTAGTATTATCGTTACAATAACAATAATGAAAGTAAATTAAAACTTTAGTGATTATAATACAAATTCTAAAAGTTTAGTAATCAAACTAAAAGCACCTTAAAAGTTTATTAAGTATCGGTGTAATTTATTCTTAGTAAAAATAATTACTATAATTTATTTAATAAATATTTTTTTTAACATAATATAATGTGCATCAACACTTAATTTATATGTATATATGTCACATTAATATTTAAATTTATGTAAACTTACCCAACTAACAAGAAACGTTAACTATTTAATTTATGTAAACTTACCCAATTAACAAGAAATGTTATAAATGTTATCACTCTAGGTATTTGGGTCGTCAACGATATTAATTTACAAACGTTATCGCAATCTCTTAATTTTTAAATTTTTTTATTTAAAACTAAAAATTAAAATTATATATTTTAAAAAAAACATAAATATTTTGAAATAACATCAAAAGTTTGAAAACCTTCATCCATCACCCTTTACCGTTGACAAAGCTCTATCCAACCTCACCTCTCCCGATGACCAAAACTCCTGTGAAATCGTGATCGATTGACAACAAATCGACGTTTTATACTCTGTAAAACCTAGGATGAAATCTTACGCGATTTCGACGACAAATCGGTGACAACTACGGTGACATATGACTATGAGGATCATAGAGACTACATCAACGACGTGGTCGTAGCCGGAAAGAACGGCGACGACGGGTCAAGGTTTGAATTTGAGGATTTTTATGATTTATGATAAATTAGTATTTTTCTATAAATATAATAATATTTTAATATTTTTTAAAAAAAATAAAATTATCAGATTATAACACACTTAACTGAAAAAATTAACACCGTTGACGGTCTGAACACCTAAAACTTTAAACACCAGTAAAAAAATACGTTAAAACCCTACTGGTAAAAAACGGTATGTTATAGTTTGGACACAAAATTTAGTTTGGTATTAAGCTTAAATAAAAAACCTAATTTCAACGAACACATTTCCTTTCCGATCTCTTTCTCCTTCCATTTTCATAGCATGAAAACTCCATTGAAAGCCCTTTTCTCGACCAACCCAACCCTAAACTTTAATTCTTATATTAAAAGATGTGCTTCTTTATTAAAGAATTACTCGTATAAAGGCTTGGTCACTGAAGGAACTGTCCTCCATTGCCATTTACTGAAGCAGGGGATTTTTTCTGAGAAATTTGTAGCTATCAAGCTGTTAATAATGTACCTTGATTTTAGACAATTAGATGAAGCTAATCAGATTTTAAAGGAGTTTAATGGGTTTAATTTAGCTGTCCAAAATTGTTTGATTAATGCTAATATTCAGTGGGGAAGTCTGTCTGAAGCTCGGAAGCTATTCGAAGAAATGCCTGAAAGAAACGAGGTTACATGGACTATGCTGATTTCAGGTTCAATGAAATACGGGAGAATGCAAGAATCAATGTGGTATTTTGAAATGAATCCATTCAAGAATGTGGTTTCATGGACCGCGGGGATTAGTGGGTTGTTGAAAAACGGGCTTAGCTTTCATGGTTTGAAGCTTTTTATTAGGTTGCTTGAATCCGGGGTTAAGCCTAATCAAGTTACTTTTACGTCTGTGATTAGCGCGTGTACAGAAACTGGGGACTTCGAGTTGGGAATGAGTGTTTTAGGACTTATAGTGAAAACCGGGTTTGAAGCTAATGTATCAGTTTGCAACTCTTTGATAACATTTTGTTTAAGGGTGCGTCAGTTTGATATGGCCAGGAGGCTGTTCAATCGAATGGATACAAGAGATGTTGTTTCTTGGACAGCGATACTGGATATGTATGTGGAGATGGGGGACTTGGGAGAGGCAAGGAGGATTTTTGATGAGATGCCAGAAAGAAATGAAATTTCTTGGAGTGCAATTATTGCTAGGTATAGTCAGAGTGGTGATCATCTAGAAGCC